TGCTACTACTACTACTACTACTACTACTCCTGCTACTCCTACTCCTACTCCTACTCCTACTCCTACTCCTACTCCTACTCCTACTCCTACTCCTACTACTACTACTACTACTACTACTACGACGACTACCTATACTACTACCTGCTACTATCACATGGTGCCCAATGACTTTCGCGGACAATTTTGAACCTGAGAATTGACGTGCATGTTGTCGCTGGCTCCCTGAGGGGTCATGCATGGGGTTGAACGTTCAAACATGGAGCCGGAGTGACCTTTCCCCAGAGTCGTGTCATCTCAAGCGTGTTTTTCTCTTGGTGTGTGCTGCTTTAGTGGTGTTTGTGAGAGCGACTCTCGTAACTAGTCATGGCCCTGCAGTGCCGACTTCGTCGTGCCAGGTGGGTGACAACACCTACTACTACCACTACCACTACTGCGACGAGGACGACGACTACTACTGCTACTGCCAGGTGGGTGACAAAAACTACTACTGCCACTGCTACTACTCCCTGCTGCTGCCGCTGCTTGCAACTGCCACTGCTACCGCTACTGCACATGCTGCGGCCTGTGGCCACGTCGCCAGGGACAAGCTGCATCTGAGAGACAAGCCTCCGCCATCGGAGCCAACGTCGTAGTTTCAAGTACGTACTGTCCATGATGATTCGAGCCGTGGCCGTAACCAGGACCCGAAACCTTGTTACTGTAGCCCTGAGCAAGCTCTAAGCCTAGGCACCAAGCTGTAGCCGCTCGCCCTTCCAAGGAGCCCGCTTTCCATAAGATGGCGACCTCCGAGACCATCCGGAACGAGCTGCGTCGGCAGTGTGTCGGAAGGGCTGCACCGAGACTTGGGGATCAGGGTTCGGGATTCCAGAGTTAGATTCTGCTTTACATTTGGAAAACGTGATTGTAGCTGTTGCCTGTCTGTCTCAGCTCTGAGAGCTCTTCCGTTATTGTGAGTTCAGGGGTAGATCGTTGTTGTGCCTCGAAGGTCTTCCGGGACTTCTATCGAAGCCTCTCTCCGCGTGCCTTGGGGGCGTGGCAGATTCTGGTTGAGAGTCTTCTTTGACAGTTTCGGCGGGCTTACTGAACTGAAACCGCCACAACGAGCCTAGGCATTCTAAAACACCATCAATGGGTGGTCCTCAAGCGCGATCACGCCGAGATCGTCATACAGCGGGCAACGGAGGCGTTGCTTTTGTGGAAGGAGACATGGCAGTACGCGGCCCCAGACCTTCTCAACATGGGCGAAGGCTGCAGCGACGAATCAGTGCCGGGAACTGCACTGCTCCTGGACCTAGAGAAGACCGAGCGCAGTACAGGGAACACGTGGGTTGACTTAAGCCGTTTAGGGGTGGAGCAGCAGTGCTTAACATATGTGCTTTGGCGACATTGTTTCACGGAGTCGCGCTTGGACCATTCGGAGAACATTGCCAAAGATCTAGACATTGTGATGAAGCATGGGAAGTTCCGCATGCTCACAGACCGTGAGTTCAACTTCTTCAAATCAGCCTTGAAGCGTGAGCTCAATGGATACCCTGCAGTGTTTGACACTCTGTCCATCGAGTATCTCTGGAAGCTCGTGCAGGAAGGCTTCATGTTCGCTCGCAAATTCGTGAAAGAGCTGCGCGTCACGGTGGGGAATGGCAACTTTCCACTTGCTGAAGTGCTCCCTGCCTTGTGGGATCTTGTTGATGACTTCAATGCCTCTCAAAGGATTTGGACACGGCTTTCGACGGAAGGTAAGCCAAGGCGTGTATAGCACATTTGACCCTGGCTGCATCCCCACCCATGCTGCAGCAACCGGGGGCCCATGATCACGATGCACGTTCATTGCAGCTGCACGTGCCGCGTGCAGCTGCAACGCAACCTGCCAATTGTTTTCTGTATGTATCGGTGGCATGGGTCTTATTTTGCAAGGTTGCTAGCAGGGTCATGCCTCGTTGCTTGTGAGGGGCATCTTGCATCTGGCTTTGTGCACTGCACATGTCACCTGCTCAGTGTCCTTCAAAGTCAGCATTAGGCATTTGCGGCTAGAACTCGGCATACAGGTGCAGGGCCAAAGCCACAAAGGCTTTGTTGCGAGGACCCACAACAACTCGATTCAGCCACCTGCGCTCGAATTCGTGGCTGTCAAATTAGGGACAATTTTTCAATGCACCGCAGAGTCCAGAGTAGAATACTTGGAGTTCTCCGCCAGGACCGGAGTCCAGGCAACCTTGAAGAAAGCAAGAAGACCAAGCACAACAAGAAAAGTTACAAGCAGAAATAGTTATAGAACCATGGAGAATGTAGAACAGCCCTGCTGAGAAGGGAGTGCAACCCTACCAGTGGGTCTGCGGATCTGGGGCACATGCCCAACTTCACGCCCTAGGTGTGGATGCAGGCGCGCCAGCGGAAAAACAGCCTCAATTCCTGCCCCTGGTTTCCTGGGCTTAGGCAGAGAGTCTACACAAGGGGTTAGTGACGGTTAGTGTCGTACCGGAAAAAAGTTAGCTTCGTGACTCGTGAATGCAGAGGAATGCAAAATCCTGGAGTCCCTGCACTGCACCGAAACTGTCGGCTTTGGCGGTGCCCGGTTGTACGTGGATTTGATAATCTTAAGGACTGAGCCTTAGCATTCAAAGCGCCAAATATTTATTCTCTGAGGCATGGGCTGGCGCTGGTGGTCATCCTCTTTTCTTCAAGAATTGAGCCCCAGAAAGTTCAAGCTTTCTAACAGTCTAACATGGATAGAACATGTAATTAAGGACCGACCAAAAGTTTAAAGTTCTCCCATTGGCTGCCCAAAGGTCTCCCGCCACCATGACCATTTTGTCCCTGGTAACACAAGTCCGACTCCTCTCAGGCGATGGTGAGACCCAGGACACTCAGCGTGCGGGTGTAGAGCAGAAAACGGGGGCAAGGTAGTGCTGTTTAGTAATTCGTCGGGAGGAGCAGCAACATAACAACAACAAACGACACGAGCAAAGACAATCAGCGACTACAACATCTGACCAAATCCACCAATGGGAAGCATGCCATAGGGAAACGAAGCGAACAAGCGATCTTCCATAGGTGCACAAGTCATTCCGCTTGGTGCCGAAGACCCCAAGTACCTGAGCACCTCGGCAGCTTGCGAAGTTCAGACTTTAGACTTTCGGATGCCGCCGGCTATCTAATCTTTCCTGCCTCGGGCGTATAGCCCGGAGAACCTGCCGCCCCAGCATGAAATTGTGTTCGCAATGCTGGGGGGCCAGAAGAAGAAGGAGCGACTGGTTTCACTTAGTGCTGCCCCCCGGACTAACCTCTGTCCTTCTGGATTTGGTGCTAGGCTCTTTGTGGCCCCTCCCGGACTAACTCAAGTAGGTGCAGATCGTGAAGCCTGACTCTGCTTTGGATTTGGGGTTTCTCCCACATGGGTTGATGCTCTGAGATACCTGACATTGGGGATTAGGCTTGAGCGTAGCGCGTCATCACATCATCACCACGCTCAGGAAACAGCCTTGAACCACCAAAAAAGAAGCGCCAGAAGCTGATTGGTTCTGACGTCGCACAGGCCTTTTCTCCTGCGCTCCCTGCAAGGCCTGGTTCCGCTTCAAGGGCCGCAGCAATCGTAGATACACGTGCAGCTGCTGCTAAACAACGGCGATGTTCTACCACCATCAAGAAGACGACTACTACCACCACCACGACCTACTGCTATTGCTGCTGCTGCTGCTACTACTACTACTACTACTACTACTACTACTACTAACTGCTGCTGCTACTACTACTACTACTGCTGCTGCTACTACTACTACTACTACTAC